GAAGGCATCGTTGCTATATCGCATCGCCTTTGTCACGACAGTTGGCAGAAAAAAAATAAAAGAACTATTTGAGTGGTCCCTCATTCAAACATAGTCTGTCATTCTTGTCTCTTAAGAAAAAAAAAAAAAAAAAACATCTTTAACTATTATCATTTGATATATTATTTGGATCGTTTTTATCATTCCTTTTTTTTTTTTTTTTTTTTATCTAAAACTCATCCTTTTCTCTTACCACAAAACTCGAATTGTGGTAATTTTTGTATGAATCAATCGACTATAATTTTTTTTCATTTCTAATTTTAACGTTTCTTTATCTGGTTTAATCCAGTGAATTTTGAGTGCTTTCGATATTCCTTTTTGTGCATATTTGAATTCTCGTTCACATCTTGAACCAAGATTTCTAAATTATATGCACAAACTCTTCTACTTTATATAATATAAAAAACAATTCTCTTTTTTTTTTTTTAAAAAAAAAAAAAAATTTCTTGTTTCTAACGAAAAATCTGGAGCCAAGCCACAATTCGCCGATAGAATCAAGCATGCCTTGCAACGTAATCCGCAATGGTGACAGTGTCTTGGGAGGCGATGCTCTAATGTGTAAGTATTTTCCGGATTTCTTGAAAAAAATGTAATTCAAAATTTCGACTGGACCAATTGAAATTGGATTTCTTGTTTGACTTTGTTTCATAAATGATAAACATTGAAAATTTGTGATACATGCGATCGACAAATACAAAAACTAATCATATCACTATATATTTGTAAAACAGCTTTTACTGCGGGCTCATGTGATTCCGTTCTTCAATGTTCACAACGATCTTTGAAAAATGCCTCATTACCAAACCTTTATCATTTTATCAGAGATATCACTACAAGATCGAAAGTTTCAAAGATAACCATGGTAGTTGGTTTAATCTACGTAAATCGATTGAAAAGATCGTTACCTTCTACCGCGCGCGGTGATTTTGATACACCTTACAAGATTTTTTTATCTGCGATTTTAGTTGCAAGCAAATACTTGAGTGATCAATCGCTTCAGAATAAGACCATCGCAGACATCACAGATGGTCTTTATACAGTTAAAGATATCAATACCATGGAACGTAGTTTTCTTGGATTATTGAAATATGACCTTTGGGTCGATAGAAATGAAGTTGAAGATTTTTTGGATCAACATCGAGTTGAATTAGAAATTAATTTTGATTGGACTAATGATGAAAAAGCATAAGCAGTATATTCGACTCAAGTTGACCTCTCGATGGTCATGAATTTATTTTTAACTTTAACGATCAAATTTTATTCTTATTACGTTGAGATTTTTTTTTTTTCGCATTAATCGTTATAATTTTTTGTTTCTTCCATTTCCAACCCACCATAACTTTATTTTACATATAATTCGATATTCAATACAAAACAAATCACTTTTTATAATACTTGGTACACGATACTAAGTATTTTCTGTTTATAGTTTATAGACGCTTTCCTATAGTTTTTTTTAATAATAATATTCTTTTTTTTTCTTCCTTTTCAAGAA